CTATAATTTCCTGTTCTTCTTAAGTTCTCAAATCCCAAATTTAGCTAAACAAAAGTGTTTCACATAAAGCAGACTTGTGTTAAATGATCAAAGGTATTGGAAATGCAGCTATGCTGCAGGCAGTTAAGAGCTATACAGCAACATTTGGCCAACATGTCAACAAACAAGCCTACTGCCTTTTAAATATCTGGGATTTGAGCTCTATAGCGTGACATGTCACGTCCACTTTGCATTCAACAAGTGACACACAGTTTCATTCAACATGGTTCCTTGTGGTTACAGCTCCAGCTCCCAACTAAAGCATGAGTTTCACAGAAGCAAACGTCAGTGAACGTGAAGCAGTCAGGTTTTGTCAGTGAGAATATTGTATGTGCTACGAGTTTTTCACATGTCTCCCCCTGCCTTAGTTCTCCCTATACTGTCTTCACCATCCACTTCAAGGAAAAGGACATGTGCCTACTCATTAAAAAAACATCCTGCAATTAGAAATGACTTCTGACAAATTCCTGAAACCACTCCCTCCCTGTCCTGTCCCTAACAAACTCCCATTGTTGTTCTTTTTATCACTACATAAACTTTCACAGACCTTTTTTATTCCCTGAAAATGAAGAGATAACCAAGTTACCCACAAAGCAATTGGACTTATAGTCTCTGAGTGGTGAAAGAAGCAAGTGTAAAGTACATGTAACACAGCTTTTGTTATCACGGTACAAAAGGCTGGGACGTTAAGTACTATGCGCTGGAGGTTTAATCTTTTATATCTCCCCTGTCAATTCAGTAGCATCCTACCTTAATAATTATTGCCACCACAGCCCCTGCATTCCATTAAATACCAAACCAATGCCATTTACAAAGCAAATATTTACTTAAAGAAGTCTGCTAAATACCACAACAATCTCTGGTGAGGGGTGGGGAATGCCAATATGAAGGGCTGCTCCAGTGTCTGGATCTACAGCTCCCCTCCCGCTCACTTGGCAGCACCTATTCTGTGATGCAAAGCTTTCATCTTCAGCAAAACCAAAAACACACAACCACCAAAACCACGAGGGGAAGGAGGGCATTAAAGGGTTACAGCAGTCACCTGAAGAACTTGCAGGCTGCTGAAATAAATTCTTTTTCAGAGGTGATGAAAATGCCTTGTGTTAAAGCAAGCAGCGCTTCTGACATGCTCCTCCTGGTACGTCACCCTACGGAAAACGATGGCTTACAAGCAATGCTCCTGCGCCACCAGCAGCATCACTGGCAGTGTGTGGAGCCAGCTGTTCTGCAGAGGGACGCAGACCCTCACCTTGGGGTGTCTCAAAACAGCTCCAGGGTCCCCAATCTGCCTGGCCTCCCCTGGACCAGCAACCCAACAGAGCGGCCATATCCCCTCGCACGTGACGGGGTAGACACAACTACCATTGACGGGACCACAGAGCTACTGGGAGAGCTGGCACCTGCCACGATACCCCCAGGATTTGGGCTGAGCAGGAGTCAGCACTCCTGGTGTGCAGCAAGCCCCCACACAGAGCGGGGAGGTGCGCCTCATCCATCTTACGCTCCCTCACCTCCATCAGCTGTGACACACTGACTTTAAGCACTGGTTTATTTAAGGCTCCCATCAAAAGCTGTACTTGAGAGTAAATCTTCCAGAGCAGAGACCCGTGTGAAAATCCTTCACAGTACACCTGTATCAACTACTATGCCTCAGGACAGTAAAAATTTGCAATTTAAAAAGGGTGTTTTCCATGCAAAGGGAACTGCCTCCCCTCCCCAAAACAAAATATATCTTGGAAAAGGAATATGTACTCTCTCTCTTTTATAATGCATCGAATTAAACACCCCTCCGTATTTTTCTCTTTCCTCCTTAGTCTTCTATTTTCCTTGCTGTGAGTGAAGAAGCAGCCAGCAAAAGGAGAAGATGGGAAAAGGATTAAGCTCTTTTTCCATTTGGTCAAAAAGAAGCTCCTAAATCACGCCTGTCGTCTGAAGATGCAGGCACTTCGGGGCATATAAATGCACTGTGCCCCGGCTCAGCACCTTCCCCTGGTGTCACAGTTTACAGGACCACATGGGAGCTGGACCACAGGAGGGACCCGTGGATGCCCTCCCTTCCTCTGCGGTCCAGGCACACCCGCTTGGAGAGCTGGAATAAAAACAGCTGGAAAAAAGCCGT